CATGTGTGCATGCATCCATGAGCATCCACGAGCATCTACATACCGCATTGAAGGTGATATGAGGTGATCGATACGCAATAAGTGCAAAGAGTGCAGTGAGTGCAGTGAGTGCAGACAGCAAAACGGAATAATCGTATGTCTGACAAACCAATGAAGGAAACGATCAACGAGAGTCAACAGTGTCAAAGTGTCAAAAGCAGAGGAGAGTGGAGTAAAAGTATCCACCCCCTCGAGATCAACGAAACTCTGCTCAGTCTGTATAATAAACACAGTGAGCAACATGGGGGATTTGACATCTGAACTCGAAGAACCTTAGAACTGCATGGGAACCACAGGGGAACCCCCCAGGGGAATCCCAGGAGAACCCAAACAAACCCATTCCATCCCATCCAATCCCCAGTGTTTCCTCCTCATTCCTCACCTCACTTTCATCCCTCAAGTTTCCTCGCCTCCTTCCGCATCACCCTCAAATCACAGCTAACCTCCCTCTCTTCCGAACCTCTCCGTTCCCTGTGTAACCTAGCAGCATACCGCTAGAACACCAGCACATCGTCTCCTGACAGATCAGATCCCATTCTACACTCATCCTACCCCTCCCGATCCCTATCCCTACAGTCCGAGTATACACTTTCACTTTTTGTTTCTCGCTCCTAGATACCTCATTATTCACGGTTTACAATATTTTGTGTTTCCTGGATCCACATATATATGGCCATATCTATATGAATGCGCCATACTCTACTCTTTACCCCGCCATACATCTACATCTCCATAAATCTACCACCGGTGCCAAAGGGAAAAGCAAAAAGTGACAGGACTAGCACCATAGGGACGATGTATCTCCAAGAGCCATAATCCCTGTAAATCGATGACGACAGAGTCAGTTCAAGAGCGATTAGCGTTTTGATACCAACTTAATTCGGATTGGGCTGGGTTAGTTCTCATGAACGATGAACCAGTCCATGTACGGGCGGTACTCTAGCTTATGTAGCGGCACCGAATTCCCCAGGCTTCTTTCTCCCCGGGATCGCGCACAGGAAAAACCCATCCGGCCGGAAGGCGGCAGAAGGCTGGGCTATGTAGGCTGGGCTCCCCCACCTCTCCCCGCCGCTCCTCTCCTCTCTTCTCCTCTCCTCCCCTGGATGCTCATCAGGGGGAGAACGGAAGTGTCGACTATCCATCTGCGACAGATTGCGCGATCAGATACATAGATCATCTAGAACAGTTTGGTATGTTTCGGTCCAGCTAAGCAACGTAAGCAAGCAAGTAAAGAAGCAAAAACAAACTGAGAATAAAAACAAAAATCACGAATAACAAAGCAGAATTGATCCTAAAACGTTACGTACGGGCCTTGTGGCACCAATGTGGCTAAGAGGGAAATTCATTGAAACTTCCGGAGTAGAGACGAACACAATGCACTCAGGAGGCAAACACAGGAATAGTCACAGGCTCATTACCTACAGGAACGTATGTAACACCTGAAAACAAGTAACTGGTGTATCTATGTCTCGTCTCTTTCATATAAAGCGAACTGTGCAACCGCAATTCCTTTAAGGGCTTCCTTCCCAGCTTTCTTTCATCATGTCTCTATCCGGTGCCATTGTCCGGCAACCGTCATGAGACGATGTGGATGTGATGTATGCCTGTGATCTATTGTTCCGATGACCTTCCTGCAACAGAATCAGCAAAATCAGCAGGATTCAAATACACATAACGGGATAAAACAAAACTGATTTTGATCTTTTATCGTCTCTTCCGAACCCTCTTGATTTATCTTCGTTGACTTGTTTTAGTTTGCCTTTTGCCTTGACTTCACTTCGTCTTCGTTGATACGATAAATAAATTGAAGGGATGGTGATCTTCAAATCACGTCGCAACCTCCGACCCTGCAACCCAGGTTCCCCGGCATCTTCAAACTCCGACCCAAGTGCTTATGGTTAGCCATACACGTCCTTCCTCCGTCTCCGTCTCGGGCCGTGTGGGGAAGTCAGTCGTCATTCTTCACCCATCTTAACAAAGATCGCCGACACCGGGTAGCATAGGGCATTTTAAAATAGCAACGCAACGCGACGCAATGCAACTGCTTACCTGGTAAATCTCAATACAGTATGTAGCTTCGTCTCACCTTCACATGGGAATTTTCTGATAAGTTTAGCAACACAACCCCAAGCTTAACTTTAAGCTCAAGCGCGTACATACGTCGTAGACAAACAATGCTTTTTTAGTTTCCGATACCGAGCACAACATACGTACCTCTACATACGCACGGAATTTCATCAAGCTGGGAACTGGACTGTCCCTCGTGGCATAAGTTCCACAAACTGATTTGCCACGCACATAAAGCCACGTGAAGGGATTGCTTTCATCTAGTCCAAAACGAAGCTTGAGATCCGAAACCCGAATCCTGTACTTGGAGGACAGTGCTCGCTTCAATCGATCGTTGATAGAGTCGTTACCTAGATTCAATGAGTGTTAAAATATGTAGATTTCGTTTGACACTCGTAAAAGAGGATGCTCTAGAGATTTTTTATTTGATCGACACTCTAGTGGTATATCTCTCTCAAAGTTAGCAGGCTCTTGGTGAGATCCCTTGATACTCCACAAATTTAGGTGCGTATCTCACTTGTACTTGAGGTTCGACTTGAACAAATTTCAGTGTTCTGGTAGATAGGTAAGGGATATAAAGACTCAAGTGCATATTGGGAGCCAACTCATCAAACATCAACTTTAACACTTCTGCACTTAGTACAATAAGCACTTTATGCAAACATTCATCGTGGAGCTCGGCGTCAAGGAGAAGGCTTAAGTACCGACCCTCCTATCCATCGTTGACATCCCGTAGAACTCGGTTCAATTGAAGCCACTCTAATTCCAGTATTGTTCTTTTCGCGGGTTGGAAACTTACAGATATGTATGTAGCCTGAATGCCACAGCATTAGTGTACAGCCTCTCCAAAGGCTCCAGAAGTTTCCGGAGTTTCCGAAGCTTGGCAGATTCGTATAAATTCTCAACACCACTACGGTAGTACTCAGCCTTTGTATTACGTGGGGATTGCTTATGTAGAATTTCATTGTTGGTACCCGGTGTAGAAGTTCTATAATAATCAAAAATCAAAACTGGTGTGAGTCTCCGAACCGCCACGATTATGGTGCTCTGTGGCTGAATTCACCCAGGTAGAACATCCGTTTAGGCCTCGAGGGCGATAAATAGCAATATAGGTCTCAAACCACTGGGAAGTGTGCCGTGAACATTTTCGAGATATTTCTGCTGCATATCAGGCCAGCTCATCGCAATCAGATAAAGAATGAATTAAGGCCCGTCTCGGTACCATAAGGCTCTGGATAGCTGTCCGGATACAGCCGTTTGCAGGATGCGAGGAAACCGCAAGCTTGATAGCTCACGTTTTTGCACCACAGCCATCCCGCCATAGATCTGAGGTAACTTTATGGTGTAATTTTTTAACTCTTGGGTGGTGATACCCAGATGCGTCATTTTGCACCATTAGCGAGAGAAAGTTTTTCCAGTCAGTCTGACTACATTGTGTGTTTGCTTGATGGGCTCCTCGGGATGACACGTAAGGGTAATGTTCGTGGCGGTCATTAGATGCTGATTTAAACCGTCTTTTTTCCTGTAAGATTTATGTGGGTTATTAGTACTCAGTTATTACATGACTGTTGTGTACGTACTCATCGAAGTTTTAGTGGACCTTTGGATTTCGCTTTTTGCATGGTGTGAATATTGTTTGTTTACTTAGCATCCGCACTCTAGATTGTTAGAAGTATGTGTCAGTTACTTGGTATCTTCGGTAATGCACAGATACCATAGGCCTTTTGACGAATTCAGGGAAAACTTGGATGACGCCCGGTGATTCAATAAATTGAAGACTGAAGAAACCGTTGGGCAGTGTTTTCTGTCCCTAGTGTATATTCAAGACCTTAGTTAGACGTATGTATCAGAACCAAACCAAGAGCATACGAGCCATAGTAGGACAAAAATGATACCGACTGCAATGTAGAGTGTACCGGTAGTTGAATCGGCATCGTGATCCTGTCGAAAAACATCAGATGGCCGTTGAAGATGGCGGGGTAAGTCCGATTGATGACTACGACCAAATATGAAATCCATCTACATGTCCGTAGAGTGTCGGTGTAGCGCTTCTTTTCATTGTAATTATATATTAAGTGACTGGAGTCGAGAGTCGAGGTCATGAATCAGAGAATAAGTGGCCCATGTATAAGAGACTACACAACAGAAGATGGAGTATAGATGGAGAAGTGGATGATTGATGAATACCGAGACTCAGGCATATTCCGGTAAGAGTACACATACCATGACCTCTACCTCCATCTACCATTGTTTCGCCGTCATAGGACGGTACATCTGAAATAAGCATCTCCTCGGATGGTAAAACACAATTGATATCTGGTGAATACTGAGTGTAAGTGCGTAATGGTTTTAATTTATTAACGGCTCACGCGCGAAAAAAGCATCATGGATACAGCCACACTTTCTCCCAGTGAGCTTGCTCACATGCTTTCGTACCGTGTGTAGACAGAGTTTTTCCTGATGCGATAATTAAATGATTACGATTTATAACCCTATCATATTGAAATTTCCACGCCGAAAGCTTACCGTAAGTTCTTCTTCCCAACTCAAAATTCAACTAAAAGTTGTGATGATCTTCATCAATGTTGCGCTCAATCGAAGAGTTGAAGAGATTTTCCGGATTAGCTGGCAAACGAGGGGTTGAATTGGGGTCTCATCAGAGAACTGATGCATAGAGGACAGTCCATAGATGAAAAATATGACCTTTTAAGTGGAGGTTAGATCATTCATTACGATGGGTGAGACATCATGAATCCAAGAAGACAAGACTAGGTCGCATCAGGTGGTGAAAATTCATGATCGAAAATCTACTTCAGCAAGATCTCTCCTCATACAAATGTGTTCATGACGTAAATTGTCCGCAACTTGTATGAGGCCAGAAAAAACAAAACAGAAGCTCCGACGCGGATTTGAACCGCGGATCTCGACATTACTAGTGTCGCGCTTTACCCCTAAGCCACCGGAGCAGTTGGTGTTTGTTGGGCTCTATTTAAAAATATGTCCTAGTAATGCAACCATCAAAGCTCTTCACAAGCGCGTAGTTGACAGCTGTTACTAGCCCTGCAGCAGCTCTACGTCACGGTATCTTCACTTGAACTTTCACCTTCAAGCATACCACGACACCCAAGACTCGACAGTAATTCACAGCACCAAACAACAGACCAACCCTAGGAACAGCGAAGACAAAAGTTAGAGAACAATAGCAGCAATGTCTACCACCTCCCCCAACCCCGCCATTGCTTCTAAAAACCTCTCCCGGTTACTATCGCGCCTTGATCAAAAGCTTCGGACAACCCCCAACACTTTAGAACGCCAGAAAATTGCTGCTGTAAGTTCAATTCGAAAAAGTCTCATTGTCTTCCTTCTCTTCTTTCCTAGGAAACACAAGCTCCCTCTACGTACCCACACCTACTAACACATCACAGAATCTTGACTACTCCCGTCAACTCCTCCACGCACTAGAAGCTCACACCAACAACATTACCATTCCCCTACGTAAACAAAAAGAGCTTGCCGACCTCGCAGCAAGGAAAAAGGCCATTAGTAAACTAAACGAAAGCCTGCAGACTGCTATACATACCGAGGATGCTGCAGAGGATGGAGAAGATGGGACAGGAGCACCTTCGGGGGGGTTCTTGAGTGTCCCTCCAACACCTAGGATGGGCGATCAGACGGACGATGATGATGACTATGTCTCTTTGACTAGAGCAAGACCTGTTAAAAGAAGACCGTCGGCTGTGAGGAGGGATATTGCTAGGGAAGAAAAGCTAGAGGCATTGGAGAGGCAGGAGAAGGAGGAGGAGCAGTTGCAGTCGCAGCCACAGACTCAACCAACCCAGCATCTAGTACCCCCATCGGGAATTAGGAATAGATTACCGAGGCCTCAGCAGACAGCAAAACCACCTGCTGCTGCATCCGGTACCTTTACTTCTGTTCCTCCTCCGTCATACCAGTCAGATAATCCCGATGCAATTCTGGATATGCAGCGTGTAGAACAGGAGGCGATAGAGAAAGACCTACTATCAATGGCAAAGATGTTGAGAGAGAGTACTATGGAGTTTTCAAGGCATTTGGAGGATGAAAAGGATATTCTTGCTAAGGCGAAAGAGGGGCTGGATAAGAATGTTGCAGGGATGCGGAGTACTGGAAGCAAAATGGATAACTTGAGGAAGAATGAAACTGTGAGCTGGTATTGGGGGATTATCTATATGGCGATTATAGTTGCGTTGGTAAGTCATTCTAAGGAGCAGAAGAAGGAAGAGCACTTGGCTAATAATTGGGAAAATAGGTCTTCTTAGTATTACTGGTGCTATTTTTTGCGCCGAAGTTAAGATGGAGATAGAGGGTTATGGAAAGAGTGGGATTCAGGATGTGGACTTATGGATGGGTCCTGGGTTTATGGACGAGTTACTATGGTGATGTAGTTAGATAGATTCAGGAGTTTATGATGAGAAAATGGGGATGGGAAACGGTAATAAGGGTGGTATTTAATAGCGCATTGTAGTATGGGTTCGACGGTTGCTTGGGGGTTGCCATATCGATAGAAATGTGAATATGTACAGAAATAGGTTTAACCCAAAAGCAAATACCTATCACAAATGTCATGATTGGTATCGAGAAGATATTATCAGACGTAACTTGTTGCCTCTGTAAGAAGAGCAGAACAATGAAGCTAGTTGTCCTGTGCGAATTGGAGATATACGAACTCACAGTATCCTGGTGCCAAAATCCAACTCGCACTCCACCGTGTTCTTCTAGAATTTCCATTACTCGGCCGTAGCCTGTCCAAACTAGTCTCCCACAGTCACACGGCTCGTCCCGAAAGTGCTGCGCGGCGTGGAGTAGGGTTCCCATGATCACCACTGTCCCTGTCACCTCCGTACCGCGTCGACATCGCCACAACTCCAATGGCGACACCCAGCAACGGCACGCCAGCTTTTACACTGGCCGCCGTCGGTGATGCAGTTGCAGATATCAATGCAGAGACGCGTGATAAATATATTAAAGGTTTTTATTCCAGCCACCTGGTCTCATCCGTCCTCGCCTGGCCTTTCCGAGCTCCCCCGTAGCTAACTTCATGCGCAACAGATGAGAAAATCGGAGAGGGAACTTACGCTATAGTATACCGAGCGCGCGTCAAAGCTACCGGAGAGCAAGTCGCCATCAAGAAAATAAAAATATCATCTCAGCAAGCCGGTATCTCGATGGATTCGTTACGAGAAATCAAGCACCTTCAAGAGCTACGCCATGAGAATATTGTGAACCTACTCGATGTATTCGTTGGACGTAACCACAATATCAATGCAGTATTGGAGTTTTTGGCTGGTGATTTGGAGGGAATTATTAAGGATGGTAGTGTTATCTACGGAACTAGCGACATCAAGAGTTGGATGGCTATGAGCTTGCGGGGACTGTGGTGGTGTCATAGGAATTTTGTCTTGCATCGTGTAAGTGGCAGTTTTTTAATTATGGTAGGTATTCACAAGCTGACAAGAACATAGGATATTAAACCTAACAACTTGTTGTATACAATGAACGGAATCCTTAAGATTGCCGATTTTGGTCTTGCAAGATCGTTCGCGGACCCTGGATCTGTGAACATGACTAGCCAGGTCGTAACTAGATGGTACCGACCTCCGGAGCTTTTGTACGGAGCAAAATCCTACTCCTCCGCTATCGACGTTTTCTCACTAGGAATGGTGTTCGCCGAACTCATCCTTCGTGTACCGTACCTTCCCGGAGAGACCGATATCCAACAGATGGTGGTCATGGCCAATGCACTTGGTACACCCTCCGAGCAGAACTGGCCTGGGGTGACCTCACTTCCTGATTACGTTATCCCAAATCCCGACAACATCCTAAACGAAGTCACAGTTCCAGATCTGAAGAGACAGTTCACCAGTATGTCTCAGCGTGGACTGGAGCTTCTGCACGGAATGATTAGGCTTGATCCTAGAAATCGTATCACCTGCAGAAAGGCACTCGATAGTGAGTGGTTTAGTGAAGAGCCGCTGCCGACAAAACCGCAGGATCTACCGGGGAAGAAGGGCAAGGAGGAGCAGGATAAGGCGGGCCAGGATTTGAAGCGAAGAGCTGGCTTGGATGAGGGACTGGGTGGGGAGGAGCTGGATAGGGGAAAGAAGGTGGCTAGACGGCTCAACTTTGGAATGTGATTACGGATTGTACATACATATATGGCGTTTGGGATGATTTACATGGATTTTGATACATGCATTAGACGAGGTGGTAATGAATGAAGTGTGTATGAGATCTGTGGCTTTTTCTTTGCTTTATGGTCTCTTTCTGAATTTATTTCCCCCTCAAACACAGTTTCCTGCGGAAATCTTACCATGCAACGATTCAACTTGGTGGGCTGAATATTACGGGAAGTTGAAAGAGGTCTCGCCAGTGACCACCGAGGTAGTGATGTTGAGGTTTGACAGGCTATTTTTCTCATTGCGTCTTGTTGTAATCCCCAGCATGATAGAAAGAGTGGGGGTACAAGTGGAGTGGATCGGCATTGCATATCCCTACAGCCTGTACCTGTATATACATGCTTCCAGGTGAGCGGATCCGAAGTCGCGGAAGGCGTGGAAGCTGGGTGATCGCTCGTGACGTTGCTAAAGAAACACTAGGGACATGTCCTTCCTTAGTACGTCCAGCCAGTCGTGTGACTCCTCAAAGGCACCACTTACACCTCCACAACCTTCACCTTCCTTTTATAATTTCACAAGACTTTGCTAACATTTTTCACAGAAATATCTCAAAAGCATCAACTCCACCACTTATCAATTCCGATTCCAAATATTCCAGAACATCTCTAAACAAGCGCGATGAAAACGGTCAACAGGGATCCAGCAATAAGACCTCACCTCTGATTTTGTGCAAGAACATTCGGCCGAAACACCGGGACATGCCCACAGCTTAAGTGGGCCTTCTTCTGCAACTGGAAATGCAATGCGCAGCTCAACGGGGGATATCATCCCGTTTTACCCCACGCCGCCCCGCATTCTGAAATCCCTGCACGATGTTCCCCATCGTCAAAACCAGGCTCAATGTAACGACACTATCTTCCCCATATTCCAAATTTCCCCTCACTGCTTGCTGCACCGGATCGCAACCGAGGTCCGCCGTATGCTAGGTATAAGTCAGCTATCACTCAAGCTCGCAAGCTAAGGATAGCTCTCTATATATATTGTCCAATTCTCCCTTTCCCCCAAAATTACCCCGCGTTCAATAACACACATACCAAAATGACTCCTCCACACACCGAAATCGCTGATGAAATCTCTACCGGCGCTATGATGCAGCCCACCGGCGTAGACGGCCAGAGCGTCAAGATGTCCTTCCCTAAACCTCCTGTCTTCTCCGATAAGCTCGCCGAGCGTCAATACCTCAAAGAGCGCCTTGCTGCTGCCTACCGCATCTTCGCAAAGGAGGGATTCGACGAGGGAGTTGCCGGTCACATCACTGTTCGTGACCCCGTCGATCCAACTACTTTCTGGGTTAACCCCTTCGGAATTCACTTCGCCTTGATCACCGCCTCTTGCCTTCTCCATGTCGATCACGAGGGAAGAATCCTCCCCGACTCCGGTCCTCACAGAATCTTAAATACTGCGGCTTTCGCAATTCACTCCGCTATTCACCATGCTAGACCTGATGTCAACTGCGCAGCTCACACTCACGCCATCCACGGAAGAGCTTTCAGCACCCTTCACAAGGAGCTTGATATCATCTCCCAGGACTCATGTGCGTTTTACAACGACCATGCGGTTTACAAGGAGTTCAATGGTGTTGTGTTGCAGGAGGAGGAGGGATTCAAGATCGCCGAGACTCTTGGACACAGAAAGGCCGTTTTGCTTGGAAACCACGGTATCTTGACGACCGGAAAGACAATTGAGAGTTGTATCTTCTGGTTCGTGAGTATGGAGAAGTGCTGTAAGGTGCAGCTTATGGCCGACGCTGC